CATAGGACTACAGTCCAACGATTGGGCTGCTTTGCCTAAGACAGGTGGTCCCAGCAAAAGCACGGGCGTCCCGCATTTATGTCGGACGTTTGATGGTGGCTGTTGTGCTGGGTTTTTTGGATGCCCGTAGGCCACTGAAGCCAGTGTCTGGGAGTTTGTAAATTCCCAGAGGCCCGAACAAAGAAAGAAAACACAAGAAACCTGAACGCCAGAACATACAGGAATGACAAACACAATGCGGAAACAGTATGTGTTTTCACTGGGGTCCTCTTTTTGACGAAGAAAGTCCATATTGTCCGTGAGTAACACTTTGTGCGTTGCCACTAGCAGGCCTGGTTGGGTTGAGGTCTGTAGCATGTATTGCTTTGGGGGGAAGGCACGCACAGGCAAGTGCAGAAATGCCATCGCAATTTGGCTCATGTGCATGCCTGGCAGTGCCTCCGAAAAGCCAGCTGCACTCCCTTTGCATGCCCCACTTCCATGGTCCAAGGTCTCAGCGGCCCCCTCTCCGAGGGGGTCGGGCACCACTCTCGCGCCCGGAGGTGGGTGCAACTCCGGCAGCACCAGCCGCTGGTACCCTCGCCAGGCCTGCACCCCGCTGGAGCGCGGCCACTCCAAGGGTGCAGGAATACCTTCAGCGAGTCGGGGTGCGAAGCGCCCTCGATTTGGCTGGGTGGTTTGATGGCGAGGCCGACCTCCGCAGCTCCCTCTCCGAGATGGGAGCAGAGGACGTGGCCTCAGCGTGGCAGGTATGGCATTGCGCCCGCCGGGCTTCGAGACAGGAGGTCCGGAGGGTGGCGCCAGCAGTCGCTGCTGCAGCGGCTGCCTCTGCCTCCAGGCCGGGTGAGCTACCAGCAGCGGCTGTCCCTGGGTCAGTCGGAGCTGTGGGTGGTTCCCGTAGTGGAGGCTTGGGGGTTGCTGGGCCTCGCGCCGCAGGTTACTCTCCAGTGCCTGTTGGTGTCGGTCTAGCGGTGTCCCCAGCTCTTTTAGGCAGAGCGCAAGCCCATGCCCAGCGCGAAGAAGCTACCAAAAAAGGCGTTGCTTGACGAGTTAGGGGTCATCTATCAGGTCATGGGTTCCCAGGGCGTTCACTGGGAAGGGGGCCCTGCGAGCCTGGCTGCGGACAGATTGTTCTTCATCCTACTAGGGCCCGCCGGCCTATCCCTAGAGAGGTTATAGGGCATTCGCTCGGTATGGCGCTCGTGGCAAGAGTGGGCGGCCAGTCAGAGCAGCAGTGAGCCTTCGGACACGATCTCACTGCATGCTCCATCGGCCGTCCAACTCGCCCGCTACCTGCGCCATGACGCAGCTAGGGGACCTACGGTGCCACCTGCTAGGTTGAGCGCCTTTAGGTGGCTCCGCGAGTACATCGGCGTGCCACTGCCAGTCGAGGCGCGCCTGGTCCGTGATTTAGGGAACGCGCCGCCGGACTATTGGCCAGAACCAGCTACGGCGCTGAACCTGGAGGAGTCTTGGAACATGGTGGCGTCTGCTCAGCGTTTGGAGCCTTCAAAGGCGCATTTGGTGCGTCGTGTCATTATATTGGCTTTGTGTTGCACTCGGCGCAAGCATTTCGCCAGGTCGTCCTTGCAGGTGGTACACAAGGACCTCATGTACGCCTTTTGTTCTCTCAAGGTAAGCGTCGTAAGCAAGGCACGAGGCCTCCGTACTCGTGGGCCGTGCCGAGGCCCAGTTTCTTATGGACGGAGGCCTTCGACTTCCTCATCCGGGTCTTGGACAAGGTGCGCTTCCCGTCCTTCGTCATCCCGGCCAGGCAGATTTGCATGGCTCCTTTCCGGCGGTACGCCTGGAGGTCTCAACCCATGCCCTACGTCATGGAGGTGTCTCTTCTGAAACAGGCCCTCCAGCAGATCGGGGCCGACAAGGGGAGGATCGAGCAGGCGACCTTCAACACGATGCGGCGCTTCATGCCGACGGCCTGCAACATTCTCAACCTCCCCAGCTGGCCCAGCCGGATGCCCAAGGCCGGGAAGGGGCGAGGCTACAGCTACGGGCAACAGGACAGAAGCCTTTTCCGCGTGCCGTGGTGTTCGCCAACGGATTCAAGCAGGTTCTTGACCCGTCGAAGACCAGCGGGCGGCATGCATGCACACCTTCGCACGGGAATTTCGGCACCCACCGAACCGTGCGCAGGGGGCGACGGCAGCCGCAGCGGACCGGTTCTTCCAGGACAAGAGACGGTTCCCCGTGGCCGTTTACGAGGCTGCGAGCTCGCTCTGGAGAGACCAGCAGTGGAGGCAACCTTATCCGGACGAGCGGGCCCTCATTCATGGCATGCCGCCTGCTGTTCTCGAGCCTAGGCTTGGGCAAATTATCGCACATGACGGCAGCTGCTGAACTCTCCTTCCCGTTAGGGAGGCCTTTTGCATTCAGACACTGACCTTGACTTCGGGCCATTCGCGGAGGCCTGGCGTGCAAGCCAGGAATGCAGGATCCTCGGGGCGCTGGAGATCTTGAGCCCTCTTCAAGTCGCCCTGGCCGAGTGCCGCAGCATGACCGCCAGAGCGGTGGCGGCGTCGAGGCACGCGGCGGCCCTTGCCTTCCTTGCGGCAGTGTTTCGATGGCCCGACCGTGCCCAAGCAGAGGATTACATCAGCGGCTTCTGCACCGTCGATCGCGTCGATTCTTTTGGCATCTCCCGGCCAGTCCAAGCACCCGGATTGGGAGTCGTCGATTCTGAATTGCATGGGGGGCCAGCCGAGGACGAGTTAGCCGAGCTTCTTGCACCAGGTCGACCACGGGATGCCAAAGAGGCATCAGCAGCGGCTATGGACAGGAAGGCCATTTTCCGCTTCATCAAAGGGGGGCGGCCCAGGCTGATCGACGACGGTAGGAGGGGGGCGCAAAATAGGAGGTCATCGCTTTCAGAAACCCTCTACACCATTGGCGTTTACTTCGTCCCAGATGCCGTCGCGCCGGTGCTGCAGCTCCTCCTCCAAGCGGAGGGTCGTTGTCCAGACGAGCCGTTGGACGTGCTATTGGCAAGCTTGCATGACTGGGCATCCGCGTTCATCGCATCGGTTGACCTTCCAGACGCTTTTCGCGGATGCCCAATCCGTGAGGATCATCGGCGAGCTGCGGCGGTAGCTGTGTGGGACCTCAGGCGAGGCGCCCGGCGTTTTGGGGCAATGAATAGTTGCCCCTGCGGCCTAGGTTCAGTGGTGGTTGCGTTCAATCGTTGCCCGGCGCTGGTGACTGCTACCTGCTGGCGGTTATTCGGGCTGTTGCTTGGGGCCTACTTTGACGACGTCGCACTTGTGGATCTCGGCGGTCGCGGCCGGGCCTCGGAAGCCCCCTTGCACAGGTGGCTGTCATGGCTGGGCGCGCCGGCCAAGATCAGCAAGCGAAGTCCCATGGCCCAGCGCCGAGTCATTCTAGGGGCAGCGTTGACACTTGGAGCCGCGAGCGAGGAGGGCGGCCTCGTCATCTCGCCGAAGGACATGTCCAGGAGGCAGGTGCTGGAGGATCTAGCGGTGCCTATCCAGTCCCACTGGGCGCAGCCCGCCCAGGCCGCAAAGACCCGAGGGCGCAGCAACTGGGTATCCAGCAACTCCCACGGCAGGATTGGCCGCTTGGGGGTAGCCGTCCTCAAGCACATCCAGTGCAGCCTTGAGAGCCCTCTGGCCTCAGAGCAGCTGGACGCCCTCAGATTCCACGAACATGTCGTTTCGCAGTTACCGCCGCGGTCTTTGCATGCGGTGCGGAGGCCCGCTAAGCTAATCTTGATGTACACGGGCGCTTGGCACGAACCAGGCTCGGGAGAGGCCCCGAGGATTTGGTGGGCCAGTGTGCGATATCCCTTTCTCAAAACGCTTGGCTGTACCACGGTGCCGCCGTGGAGGGCCCTGCGGACGTGGAAGCCAAGGGGGCAGCAGATCTTCCCAGCCGAGGCGGTGGCGCTTCTGGGTTGCTGCGGACATCTTGATGGGGCAGGGGTGTGATCCGTTTTATTGACAACGAAGCAGCGGCCGCGGCGGCCCTTCGAGGTGATTCCAGCCAGCCGGTCGTCCAGGTAATCATCCAGGCCGCGCACGTTCTTTGGGTGAGGTTGAACGTGCGCATGTGGTTGGAGTGCAGAGATAGTGGCTCCAATCCAGCAGATGGATAAAGCAGATTGGGAGTCGCGGACCCCTGGTCGCCCCTCCAAGGGTGGGAGCTTCGAGACGAAAAGGCACCGCCTGGGGAGTGAGCGCCAGGAAGGCCTGATGTGCTGGCTGCAGAGCTCACTAGACATTGGGCGGATGGCGGGTTCGTAGATCGTTCGCTCTCAGGGCGCGCGTTCGCAGAGGGTGATTTGCCCGCCTGCCCGCCACGGCCAATGTCTTAGACACGGCCGCCAGGTGCCGGCCGGCTCCGAGGGGGGCCGGCGCGCCATGCCTCGGCCTGCGGCGGCGCGGCTGGCTCGCCGCAGAGTCGGCCACGCGCCGCGTCGCGGGGGGCCTCGATGCCTTGCGGCAGTTGGTCGACTGAGGGCTGTCTGCGCACCCGCCGGTGGAGCGCTGCGCCGCTGGCCTCGAAGCCATGCGTTGCCACTAGCAGGCCCGGTTGGGTTGAGGTCTGTAGCGCGCGTTGCTTTTTTCTGGGGGGGGGGGGGGGGGGGGGGGGGCACGCGCAGGCAAGTGCAGAAATGCCATCGCAATTTGGCTCACGTGCGTGCCTGACAGCGCCCCCGACAAGCCAGCTGCATTCATTTTGCCCCGCCCTCCCGCTCGGCTCGGCTGGGCGGCGGCGGCGCTCAGGGATGCGCTGCGCGGCCCCCGGCGTATCCAAGGGGGGGCAGGGTTGAGGCAGGCGCCACTCGGAGATCGTTCGCTCTCAGGGCGCGCGTTCGCAGAGGGCGCCTTGCCTGCCGGCCCGCCGCGGACAATATCTTAGACGCGGCCGACGGGTGCCGGCTCCGAGCGGGGGCGGCGCGCCATGCCTCGGCCTGGGGCGGCGCGGCTGGCTCGTCGCAGAGTCGGCCGCGCACCGCGTCACCAAGGGCCTCCATGCCTTGATGCAGGTGGTCGACTGAGATCCGCCTGCGCACCCGCTGCGCCGCTAGCCTCGAAGCAGTATTTCTTGAGTTGCATTTGCCTTTTCAAGGAAAGGTTGTGGTTGTAGCGGCGGCGAGTGATCCCTGTGCCTGCACAGTGACCGCACTCACGCGTTGCCTGTCAGAAAGTAAAATTTATCCGACGGTGGGACCCCGCACGAGAATCTGTTTAGCTTACCCTTTGCCCTTTCCTCTTCCTCCTGGGGTTCCCGCCTGAGACTTCCTCGCAATTCACTCACAGACGAGGCTCCCGCTCGAGACTTCCTCCATATCCATATCTCAAGAGCCCCAAAGTGACGACAGTTGCACGTTGCGGATGACCCGCTCGGATTCAAACATGAAGTGCGGGCCCCATAGGGAGGGGGCTCCCGCCTGAGACTTCCTCACAATTCACTCACAGACGAGGCTCCCGCTCGAGACTTCCTCCATATTCAAGTCTCAAGAGCCTAAAAGTGACGACAGTTGCACGTTGCGGATGACCCGCTCGTATTCAAACATGAAGTGCGGGCCCCATAGGGAGGGGGCTCCCGCCTGAGACTTCTTCGCAATTCATTCACAGACGAGGCTCCCGCTCGAGACTTCCTACATATTCATATCTCAAGAGCCCAAGAGTGACGACAGTTGCACGTTGCGGATGACCCGCTCGGATTCAAACATGAAGTGCGGGCCCCATAGGGAGGGGGCTCCCGCCTGAGACTTCTTCGCAATTCGCTCACAGACGAGGCTCCCGCCCGGGACTTCCTCCATATTCATATCTCAAGAGCCCAAAAGTGACGACAGTTGCACGTTGCGGATGACCCGCTCGGATTCAAACATGAAGTGCGGGCCCCATAGGGAGGGGTCTCCCGCCTGAGACTTCCTCGCAATTCACTCACAGACGAGGCTCCCGCACGGGACTTCCTCCATATTCAAGTCTCACGAGCCCAAAAGTGACGACAGTTGCACGTTGCGGATGACCCGCTCTGATTCAAACATGAAGCGCGGCCCCCATAGGGAGGGGGCTCCCGCCTGAGACTTCCTCACAATTCACTCAGACGAGGTTCCCGCTCGAGACTTCCTCCATATTCAAGTCTCAAGAGCCCAAAAGTGACGACAGCTGCACGTTGCGGGTGACCCGCTCGGATTCAAACATGAAGTGCGGGCCCCATAGGGAGGGGGCCCCCGCCTGAGACTTCTTCGCAATTCACTCACAGACGAGGCTCCCGCTCGGGACTTCCTCCATATTCATATCTCAAGAGCCCAAAAGTGACGACAGTTGCACGTTGCGGATGACCCGCTCGGATTCAAACGTGAAGTGCGGGCCCCATAGGGAGGGGGCTCCCGCCTGAGACTTCCTCATAATTCACTCACAGACGAGGCTCCCGCTCGAGACTTCCTCCATATTCAAGTTTCAAGAGCCCAAGGGTGACGACAGTTGCACGTTGCGGATGACCCGCTCGGATTCAAACATGAAGTGCGGGCTCGATAGGGAGGGGTCTCCCGCCTGAGACTTCCTCGCAATTCACTCGCAGACGAGGCTCCCGCTCGAGACTTCCTCCACATTCAGGCCTCAAGTCAGCGAGTAGTGATGATGATGATGAGGATGATGATGATGATGATGATGATGATGATGATGATGATGATGATGATGATGATGATGATGCTGATGATGATGATGACGATGATGATGATGATGATGATGATGATGATGATGATGATGATGATGATGATGATGATGATCGTTCGATGCCGATGATGGTGAGTGATCGTGGGATGGTGATGCTGATGGTGATGATGATGATGAGTGGGGAGTGATGGTGATGGTGATGATGATGCGGAGGAGGAAGCAAAGAGGAGCAGAGGAGAGGGAGGAGGAGGAGGAGGAGATCCTGCGCGGAGGGTGTGCAGCGGAAACAAGAACCCCACTTAGGATGTGGGGAACAAAATCATGACATTCCGTCTGCTTGACGTGGCAATCCACCAATTGTTTGGACCAAAACAGGTCGTCCTTGTGAAAGCACACGTTTGCGCCCCCCCCCCCTGCCCCCTGAGCGTTTCCGACTTCTGGGAAAGTCGGACGCCCATAAACACGATTAAGCCAGTGTCTGGGAATTCGTGAATTGCCAGAGGTTTGCGATAGTTTCAGCAAGAATGCAGAAGTGGGTGCAGGTGAGCCTCGTGCCTTCACAGGGACCGCACGGTTTCTTTAGAGCGGAGATGGCGTTGACGGTCATTCATCGATTGTCTTTGACCCGAACAGTTTGCCCGTGCGGAAACACCTGGGTGGCGCGCGTTTTTGGATTGAGCGGGGCAGTTATTTGTTATGTGTTCTTGTTTATTCTTGCTTCTGTGACTTTCGGATTCCCATGGGCCATATGTGGGGCTAGTGCATGGGAGTGCATGGATTTCCGAAAAGGCCCAGGGGCATGCTCATACGAGCATTGAAAAGATTGACCGCGTGACAGAACACCAAGTGGCCGAGGAGATGACGAACGCAGGGTTCTTAAAATCGGACCCAATATATTCGATCGTTCCGCGGCGCGCACGCCGTTGGGAAGCTGCGGCGGCGCGTGGACAGCGGTCATTTCAGTTGCAATAGAGCCAGCTAGCCCCAGGCAGATCACCTAGTCTTCGCGATTGGCAGTGGCAAGGGCGCCGCGCCTTGCATCGCGGCTGGGCGCCGCCCGTTCTCCCGTCGCGAAGTTGCAGGTCCCGGGGGTCAAATCCGAGGACGGGTGACATTTAGACATGGCGCGACGTGGGCGCAGACGAAGTTGATTTGAAGAAAGAAATCGCTTGCGCGGCGGGCGGGCAGCAAACGGGCGAAGTGGCATCTGCGGGGCGGGGTCTCGCAAAGGGGCGCGTTGTCGGCGGAAGTGCGATCGCCCGGTTCCGGGCCAATCACAGAGCGTAAGAACCCTGGGCGGCAGAATCATTAAAAGGGCGCTGCGTTTTCCTGTGCACTGGCGGCGCTCGCTCCCACAAGATCAGCGATCTCGCGGCGAATGGCAAGTGAGTCTGGGCCAAGCGCGTGCAATCGCTTCGCCGCTGCGTGCCCAGGGGGGAATTGATTGGCACCAAGGGTGGCCTCCAGGTCTTCACCGATAGAAATTGGCGGCGCCTTCGTGAAATGATGGGTGGTAGATCGCCCGCGGTTAACCAGTGCTCATTGGATAATCGCGCTCGCTCTGCCCAGGTGCTCTTCCTGGACACAGGGCAGGATCTGTTGTCGAAAGCTGATGACATGTTGGCACATTTGCGTTCTGAATGTCAAACTGCACCGTCGTAGCGGCGCTGCTGTTTCTGCGAGCCCGTGTTATTGGCGCGGGTTCCACCACCTTCGTAAACCAAGGCCAAAGCGCCGTCGCCTTCAGCTTCCAAACATCATGCGCGCAATTCGTCGCCGCCGCTGAACTCCGGAACAGAAACAGCTGCGAGCGCGACGAACTCGACGGGGGTTCGCGCGTCACGCGCCGAGCTGTCAACGCAAGTCAGCACGATCGCCCAGCAGCTATCCGACGTCGACTGAGGCCGATGGTCGGGCTGTGACCAGAATTATGATGTAAAGCGCGGTTGTGCATGAACCCTTCCAAGGGCACCGAATGGGAGTCTTGCCCCCCCACACCCCTGTAGCGTATATGTGTGTATGTAGGTATACATATATATGTATATATACGTAAATATTACGACCGCGTGTTTCGATCTGTGCATGTGTGTACATCCAGCATACACTGTTACATCATCCGCGCGTACATGCACCTAGTTATACATACCGCTTGTACACGATCACATCACCCAGCTACACCCGTACGTGTGTGTGCGTATGTAGTTTTGTATATATATACATATATCACGATACTGCATGTGTGTACGTGTGTTTGTTTGTTGTTTGTACGTATGTGTGTATGCATACATACATACATGATGCTGCATGTATGTATGTATGTATGTATGTATGTATGTATGTATGTATGTATGTATGTATGTATGTATACATATACATGTGATTATGCATGCACATATCTATATATATATATATATATATATATAGTCACTCGCGTGCGCGTTTGGAATGGCATTCGGCCCGCTTCGCTACCGTGCTTGGGTTGCGGTTCGGAGTCTTCGGGGGCGTTTCTTAGTGTCTCTTCGGAGCGCTCTCGGGGGCCTCGTGGGGACTGCTTTGGTGTTTCTTGGGGGCCTCTTCGGGGCTTGTTCGGGAGCCTCTTGGATGGGGTCTTCCTGCGGGCCCCCCAGAAACGATGGCTTCACATGTCCATTCGCGTCACCCGTCGGGGCTCCCTCTTGGCGCCGTTTTGGGTGCCTGTTGGGCCGTGTTGGGCGCCCGTTGGGCAGCTAGAGGGCTATCTTTGGGGCCTCCTGAGCTGTTTTGGGGCGATTTGGGCGGCCCCTTGGGCCGTCTTGGAAGGGCGGGAAACCGAAAAGGCGATGGCGCCAACATTTGTCAAACATCCAGAGGCAATCAATGCGCGTTGTATAGTGGAGTCCTCGTGGGAGGCCCGAAAGCTCGTGGGGCGTTCTGGGCGCTTTTTCCCCCGACTTGAGGCCATCGTCCGCAACTTGGACCGATTGATTAGTGATTCGGGGCCTTCTTGGACCGCCTGGGAGGTATCTCGGGACCCTTTTGGCCCGTTTTGGGTGTTCGTGGGCCCGAACAAGTCGCGCCGAAAGCAACCCAGCCCCGAGAGATTTAGCAATGTGGGGTGCGGAAAGGATTTTCGGGATTGGGGACGGGGCCCCCTGGGGCCCCACAAGGGACCAGAGGACAATTCAGCTCGTTCCTCAATGGCACGGCGGCGGATATCTTGATCCAGACGGGCAGAGAGAGAAAGAGAGAGAGAGAGAGAGAGGAAGAGATAAAGAGAGAAAGAGAGCCAGAGAGGGAGAGAGAGAGAGAGAGAGAGAACATGTACATAGAATTGGCTAAAAGCCTCGAGTGTCTCTGAGGGTGGGATGGGTGCCGTTTCCATCGCTTGGGCTCTTCGTGTGGCACTTGGCCCGGGCGCAGGGCGTCACCACAGACCTGAGCTTGAGCTTCATTGGCGTCGGCAAGGCTCCTTCTCATGCTCTTGCTTCGAGGTTAGGCTCCACTGCGCACCAGGTGCCTGGAGTACCGATGTTTCCATTTCATTTCAAGCGGCGCCCAACAATGGGGTGGCGCGAGGTGGTTGGGCTTCTAAGAAGGCGGCGGGGCTTCTGAGAAGGCGTGGGGGTTCTCAGAAGCCCGGCCAGCCTCCAAAACATGGTTTCAGAAGCTTCTGGGGCTTCCGAAGAGCAGGCCCCCCGCCTTCTGAGAAGCCCCGCTGTCGTTTCAGAAGGCCGCCCATCTGGCGCCACCCCTTCGTGGGTGCCGCTAGGGTTCCCTTTTTTTCGCCCGTGCCCCCCCGTGACAAAGTGCCTCCTCCTCTTTCTCCTCCTCCCCCCCTCCTCCTCCTTTCTTCCTCCTCCTTTCTTCCTCCTCCTCCCTCCTCCTCTTTCTCCTCCCCCTCCTCCTCCCTCCTCCTCTTTCTCCTCCTCCTCCTCCTCCTCCTCCCTCCTCCTCCCCCCTCCTTCTCCCCCCATCTTCTCCTCCCCCTCCTCCTCCTCCTCCTCCCCCTCCTCCTCCTCCTCCTCCTCCTCCTCCTCCTCCTCCTCCTCCTCCTCCTCCTCCTCCTCCTCCTCCTCCTCCTCCTCCCCCTCCTCCTCCTCTTCCCCCTCCTCCTCCTCCTCCTGGGGGCCCACGCCACGAAGAGCAGGCAGTGCCCAAGGTTTGCCCTCTGCCCTCGCGCGAGGGGCAGGAGCGGGAGCACGGGAGTCGCAGAGCACGATGATGCCGACGAGGGCGATGATGACGATCGCGGCGGTGAAGATGAGGAGGATGAGGCCTCTTAGGGGTGAGGATGAAGAAGACGAGATGAAAATGAAGACGAAGATGAAGAGGCAGTGAAGATGAAAAAATATGAGGAGATGAAGATGAGGAAGATGCCGACGAGGCCGACGAGGTGGCCGACGAGCCTTTTGGTGAAGTCGTGGACCGCATGCCCGGGGGGACTGCGCGCCGGGGTGCGTGCGAACGGCGGCGGTTTCTGTGGCATGTCGGTTGCTGGTGCGGCCACGTCCGCAGTGCTTTGTTCCGACGTGACCCGACGCTTATTTCGGTGGCCGCCCTTCTTGCGTCTCTAGCGACGCGGTGACCAATGTGACCCCCCGCCAGCGACTGTGTATCTGTTGCCATGGTAGGTAGTTAGTTTCACCATGAAGGAGAGGGGCCCTCAGGGAAGCGGGCCCCGAGGTTTTTCGCAGTTCTCGGGCTCGCGGGGCTCTCCCCGTGCCCCGGGAAGCTCCAAGAGCGATTCGGGAGGAAGAGCTGGCCGTGGGGGAAGCCCGCCCAGGACCCGCTTCCCTCGGGACGCTTGCCACGTGTGCCAATCGGTTATCTGGAGGTATGGTATCTCAGGCTCGGGCATTAGATACATATATATATATATATGTATATATATATGTATATTGTCGTGTCCGCCGCATTTCCCCTGCTCCCCCTGGCCGCGCCATGGATGAGGTGAGAGGGGAGGGGCCGTGACAGGCAGAGGGTGGGCGGCAGGGAGCTCGGGCGGGCGCGCCCCTCCTGCCTGTGCTGCTCCTGCCCTCTGCTCGGTTGGGGGGGGGGGCCCGGGGCCAGGGACCGGACTCACGGGGCTCCACCTCCCCAGGGCTCGTTTCGATTCCTCCGATTCGATTCGATTCGATTTCGATGGTTTCCGATTCCGATTCGATTCGATCTGGGATTCCGATTTGAGTTCCGATTTCTTATTGGAGGCACAGTAGCCTGCCGATTTCTGCCGATCCGACTTTTCCCGACTCAGCTGCCGATTTCCGACGATCCGATTCATGTCGATCGCCGATCCGACTTGTCGATCCGATCCTGGGCTCTCCTGCCTCCCTGTCTCTGCGCGCACGAGAGGGGTACTCCAGATTTCGTAATAGAAGGGAGGGGGTCTGGACCCTCCAAGACGAGCCATTTCAGACCCCCCCTCCCGTGGGAGAGCCCTCCAAAACGTCGTCCCCAGACCCCCCAGGCCCTCCAAGATAGCCTGGAAGAGACCCCCCCCGAAATGAGACCCCCCTCCCTTTATTACGAAATCTGGAGTACTGAAAGAATGGGTATTATGCCCAACAGCGGATCTTGCTCATTTTGAGCAGGGCTCGCTGTCCACGCCGCCGCGGCCCGTGTTCATGCGAGACAGGAGGCCGCCTGCCCAGCAGCGGCCGCTGTTGGTTTGGGACAACATTTGCTGTTGGGCATTGTACCCATTCTTTCGGTACCCATTTCGGGCGTCCAAACTGTCCTACCTTCACCAGCATCCGTCTTTGCTGGCCTCGGTTTGCTCTGCCGCCCGCACCCCCTTCGTCCCTCCTCGGTGCCGCTGAGGTTGGCCGGACCATCCAGATAGACTCCACGGTCTTGAAGGCGACGCTGGGCAACTTGGCAACCCCTGTCCTCTCCTCCGGCCTCTGCTCTCCTCCCTCCCGCCGTCCATCCTCTCCTCGCCACCCGTCTCTTTGTTCACCCGTGCCATCCGAGCCCCCTGCACGGCAAGTGTGTGTGTGGATGTGTGTGGGTTGATGTGTGTGTGTGTTGTATGTTTGTGTGTGTTGTGTTTTTGTTGTGTGTGTTTGTGTGTGTGTGTCTGTGTGTGTGGGTGTCGTTGGGTGGGTGGATGGGTGGATGGGTGGGGGACATGCGGGGCCAGGAGGGGGACGAGGAGGAGCAGAAGGCAGAGCAGGACGAGGACGAGGAGGAGGGCGAGGAGGACGACGAGGAGGAGGAGGAGGAGGACGGGGACGAGGAGGAGGACGATGCGGATGACGAGGAGCGAGCCTCCTGCCTGCCCCACGCCCCCTCCTGCCCGTTCCCTCCCCATCGTAGCGCGTGGGGCGCGGGTGTGCTGGGCTCGTGCCGCCATCTCGGGCTCGAGGGGCCGGGCCGCCGCCATCCGCGAGGCCCTGCGGTGCCCCCCAGGCCGGCGGTGCTCGTCCTCTGGGGGGTCGGGCTGCAGGAGGCGGGGGTCAACGCAAGCGGGGCTCAGCCAGAGCGCCAGATCCTGCAGGATCCTGCAGAGCCAGGGGTGCACAGGCCCGGGCTTGCGCGCAGGATCCTGCAGGGTCTTGCCAGGCCTGGCTGAGCCAGGTTTGCATTGACCCAGGTCAGTGCGCCCCCGAGGGTCGAGGAGATTCCATGAATACCTCCAGCGCGTTGAGCCATTCGATGCGACAGTCAATGGCCTCGGGGAAAGGGTCGAGGCACTTTCGGGGACCCCGTGTTGAAACCAACTACGTCGGATCTCTGGGAGGGTACCGACACTTCGCTGCCCTTGCCCCGCTGCCACCCTTTTTGGGGGCCTCCTGGGGGATCCTCGCCACGGCGGGACTCTCCCCGAAGACCTGTTCAGGTATTCTGGGATCCTCCTCCTCCTCAACCTCCCTCGTCGTCGTCCTCCTCCTCCTCCTCCTCCTCCTCCTCCTCCTCCTCTTCCTCCTCCTCCTCCTCCTCCTCCTCCTCCTCCTCCTCCCTCCTCTCTCCCTCCTCCCTCCCTCCCTCCCTCTCTCCCTCTCTCTCCCCTCCTCCTCCTCCTCCTCCTCCCTCCTCCTCCTCCTCCTCCTCTCCTCCTCCTCCTCTTCCCCCTCCTCCTCCTCTCCCTCTTCCCCCTCTTCCCCCTCCTCCGAGTGGGTACCTCTGTGTTTCCCCAGGGGGGCCCTGAGCGGCCCTCGCTCCTCCTTCCTCTCCTTCGGCCTCCCTCCCTGTCTTGGCCCACAACGTGTCTCCCTCCTCCTTCCTTCGGCCTCCCTCCCTCCCTCCCCTTCCTCTCCTTCGGCCTCCCTCCTCCTTCGGCCTCCCTCCCTCCCTCTCCTTCGGCCTCCCTCCCTCCCTCCCTCTCCTTCGGCCTCCCTCCTGTGGCTCAATTCGCTACAACGGTGACCCCGTCTAGATAGCTCTTCCGCCAGAGCAGTCACTCTGCCTAGCCGCCGACGCAAGCAGTGCTTCTCCCAGGGGGGGAAGGCGCTCCCGACGGCCAGGCGTTCGTGATGAGGACCTTCCCGGGGCCCACCAGGCGGATCCCGCTCAACCCGTTGAGCCCCGATTCGGCTCCAGCTCGGCTATGGTTCGACGCTAGCCCGACTAACGCCATTAGCTCGATCCGAGTTCGGAGGAAAGCCCCCAGAGCGAGCATCCAACAGTGGGGCAGGGGGAACGAGGGGGGGGGGGCTCCCGCTCCCTCCTCCTTGGCATTGCTCGGACTTGGGTGTGTGTTTCTGGAAAATCAGAACCGAAAGTGTGAATTCTGGAAATATGGACCGAAATCTGAAAGAAATCTGAAACTTTGAAATCTGGAGATCTGATATCTGCAATCTGGCAAATCGTGGTTCCCCCGCGAGGCCAGCGACAGAAAAACTGGACCGGCCGTCTTGGATCCTCCGAGGACGTACACGCACGAAAAACCGTTCGAGCAGGGGATCGACCACCGAATTTTTGTTTACCCCGATGTTGATCTCCTCGCGTGTGCGAAACCGGTGTGGACTGCTCGTGGATCGTTCCTCGTCCTTTCGCGGATTCGACGAGCAGCTCGGGTACCCCCTGCTCGAACCAAGCAGTGCACGGGGACCAGACGACGCCGAGCGACGGCAGGCCTCTCTCCCCCGCCCGCCTGCCCCCCCCCCGACGTCCCGAGCTGGGGCGGTCCTGCGGACGGGCGGCGCGCGCCGGCGCGAGCCGCGAGCCGCGAGCCGCGAGAGACTTCGGGCCCTCGTGGCGGTGGAGGGTTTCTCTGAAGGGCTTCGGCGACCCGTCTTTCTCCTCCTCCTCCTCATCCCCCTCCTTCCTCCTCTTCCTCCTCTTCTTCCTCCTCCTCCTCCATCTACAATTACTCAATATGAATATACTCTCCCTCTTCCCCTGATGGCGTCCGGGTGATGGCCGCGCACCCTCCGCGTACTGTTTTTTACACACAGGGTGCCCGGGAAATCCCGGGAAACGACTCTCGCTGAGGCGCCGGGGTCATTTTTTCCCAAGATGCTGCTCTCGTTGAGGCGCCGGCCTCATTTCTGCTCCCGAATCGTTCCGAATCGTGCTCCCGCTGCAGCGTGGGCCTCATTTTCGGATCGGTGTTTGGCCTCCGTCGTTCAGGATGGCGTTCTCGCCCCAGCGCGGGCCTTTTTCTCGCGCGCCCATCCGCCCGCCACCACCGCGCCGCACCGCCACCACCACCACCACCACCACCACCACCACCACCACCACCACCACCACCACAACCACCACCAGCACCAGCACCAGTACCAACACCACCACCACCAGCACCACCACCACCACCACCAGCACCACCACCACCACCATCACCACCACCACCACCACCACTACCACCACCACCACCACCACCACCACGACAACCACGCACACACGCACGCACGCACGCACGTGCACCACCACCCACTACGCACGCGCGCGCGGAGCCACAGGTCCGCTACGACACGCGTCCGCGGATAGAGAAAATCAGCGCCATGGTAATAGATGGGAGGGAGGGGTAGGACGTCAGATATGACGCGAGCGCACCTAGCTTGCCTCCTCCCCCTCCCCCTCCCCCACCTCCTTCTCCTCTGCCTCCTCCTGGGGTCGCCTACGGCCGGGGGGGGAACCGTGCACGTGGCGGCCTTTGGCTCTGGTGGTGATACTTTTGTTTGGTTTGCGATGTTGCATGTTGCTGCATCGTCGGATCCCAGGGTCGGCGGTGAGCCTGGGGGAAGTGAGAAGGGGCGGGCCTTCTCAGAAGGCTCGGAAGCCACCCGGCCTTGTGAGAAGTCTCCTGAGACTTGCGAGCCTTCTGAGAAGGTCCGCCCCTTCTCGCTTCCCCCCAGGCTCGCCGCCGACCCTGGGATCCGACGATGCAACAAAATGCAACATCGCAAACAGAGATGAAGATCACGACCAGAGCCAAAGGCCGCCACGAGAGCGCGAAGTCATTCGCGGTTCGCGATTTACGATTCGCGTTTCCGCCTCCCTGCTCTTCTTTCTCGTCTTCCCCTCCCCCGGGGGATGCGGCGCGAGAGCACAAAGCTGTTCGCGCTCCGCGCAGCGGGCAGCGCGCACGCAGCTGCCACTGGAGGCCCTCGGCCCCCTCTGGGATCGATCTGTGATGGTCCCCGTGCCCCGCGAGAGCGCCCACTGCAAACGAGGCGCCCGGAACTGCGCCCCCCCCCTTTGGTCCCGACTGGGCGGCCTCCTTCTCTGGAGGAGGAGGAGGAGGAGGAGGAGGAGGAGGAGGAGGAGGAGGAGGAGGAGGAGGAGGAGGAGGAGGAGGAGGAGGAGGAGGGGAGGAGAAGAGGAGGAGGAGGAGGAGGAGGAGGAGGAGGAGGAGCGGCGCAGCTGCAGCGGCGCAGAGGAGATCGGCATACGGCCCCGTCGGCCCCTTGGCCGATTTCTGGCGGCCTGCAGTCCTCGCCGCGGGCTCCTCCGCCGCGCGCTCCTCCGCCGCGCTCCGCCCGCTGCTGGTGGGGGAAGCCCTCTCCCCCTCCTCCTCGTCCTCCTCGTCGTCGTCCTCATTCGTACTTCTCCCTCCTCCCCCTCCTCCCTCCTCCTCCTCCTCCTCCTCCTCCTCCTCCTCCTCCTCCTCCTCCCCCTCCTCCTCTGCCTCCTCCTAGCCTATTGGCCCAGTCTCTGAGGCGCAAGGCTTTGGATGCCCTCTGGAGTTCTTCCTCCCCCCTCGGCCATGGTGGTCGCAGAGCGTCTGGCACTGCTTCGGGCTCGAATGCTTGCGGGGCACGTTGTGCACTTGAGTGTCGTCGGACAGGATGTTGGAAAGCTGCGCCGCCTCGCCACTGCGCGAGCAGTTCTTGGGGTGGTACATGCGAGACGCTGCGCCGTCGACTTCTCCACGCCTTCGAGGCTGCCACTGTCGCCGCGCATGAATGGGTCACCGTGGATAGGGGCCACAAGTCCAGCAGTGAGATTTTGAGGGCGACCTTCTGGAGCTCGACCTCGATCGGGACCTGCGGCGGTGAAGACGATGACGGAGAGGGTCCTGGCCCTGTTCCTCGGCGGCGTTGTGAAGCGCGAGACGGTGATTTGCTTGTTCCTCACCCTCGTGGGGCCGATCCGTGGCACGTTGGTGCAGGTTATCCTTGGGCTGGTCCTCCGCCGCACGATGCCCCTCCGCATCACCAACATAGTCCACCACTCCCTTTGGTGCCGCCCTTTCCCGTCAACAAGGATGCCCCTCAGTTCCGCCATGGGGAGATTAGCAGGGTCGACGTCCTATTACGGGAGTTGTGTGGTGACGTTATTGCGTGTACCTTTTCTGTTGGTGGAATTCCAGGCGCTCAGGTGTTCGTAGAAACGCTGGGGGCGTTCTATCTCGTTTTCAAGATCGACGTTGTTTTCAGGTTGTTGGGGCAGGGTTCTTCCGTTTTGGGATTGAC